CTCTCTGTGTCTCTCAGCCTCTCTGTCTCTACTGGTCTCTGGTTCTCTGTTGTTTCCCAACATCCTTCCTGAGCCCCTGGGGAGCAGAGTTGGGGGGCCGGGCAGTGGGAACGGGACAGCGTCCTGTTCTCACCAAGGACAATAAGGGCCGGAAAGGGCTGGAGCCAAGGTCTGGTGCAGACTCCCCCTCCCTGCCTGCCCTGGGCGCCCCAGACCCCGCCCAGAGCCACTGGCATGACCTAAATGTCAGGCACCCTGCATACTAGTGCCAGTCCTGGGAAATTCAGCCCTACCAGGGTCGGAGAGCCTGTTTGCCCTTGGTCTCACCTTCCCATTGCCCTCCTGGAGGGTGGCATCACCTTCTGATCCACGGACTGACTCCTGGGACACTCAGACAGGCTTCCATTCTCCAGCATAGACACTCCCCTCCCGCCCACATTATTTACTCCCGTTTCCCGAGCTAGTAGCGGGTGCTGATGGGTGTTGTGGCCACGTGTGAGGGAGTAGGAGGAAACATCTGGTTTCCCTCTGTCCTCCAGGAATGCCACACTCTCCCTCAGGTCTACTGCCTCCGGGGTGGAGCAGAACCCCAGGGGACCAAGGGCCAAGAGGTTAGACCTTTACTCTCTCACCTGGCTCTCCGGGAAGTCCTGGTGTCCTCAGGCCCCCTTACTTAATGATAGTGATTAGGTGGTTATGATGCCCCTGCCAGGGTTAATTGGCAGGTCAGGTGTAAGCAGCCTGCAACTAGGCACCACAGAGATAGGCTGGGTGGAGAGCTGCAGTTGGCGCCGACCTGCCTTGTAAATGCACCCATTCCCCAAGGAAGGGGGTCATTATTCCTGGGCTACATGCTACCCTGGTCCTACAGAGATTCCTTGGCACTGCCTCCTGGCCCCCGCTCTCTGGGTCCTCTTTTTTTGTGTGGGATTGAACTCTGGGAACTGGACCACTGAGCCACATCCTAGCCCTATTTTGTATTTAACTTAGAGACAGGGTCTCACTGAGTTGCTTTACACCTCGTTGTTGTTGAGGCTGGCTCTGAACTCCTGATCCTCCTATCTCAGCCTCCCAAGCCACTGGGATTACAGGCCTGTGCCACCGCACCCAGCACTTTGGGTCCTTCTTATCCTCCCCTATCCACAGAGGATATTGGCTGTCAGGCCCCACCCAATCCATCCCAGAGTTATGTCTACCTGGACTGGGACCTGGCCCTCTGTCCGCTGCTCCCACTCCAGGTAAGGAGAAATTTAGTTTGACAGTAAGACCTAGAACCAATCCAACCTCCTCAGGGGCCCAGGGCCCATTCTGGGCAATAACCCTCCTCCCTCAGAGGCTCCTATAGATCACAACCCTTCTCGCTCCTCACATCAGTGGGGGAGATGGAGCCTAGAACTGCCATCCTCTCAGGGAGGCTGTTCTCCATTGAGCTGTGTGTCTGTGTGTGGTGCTGGGGATTGAACCCAGGGCCTTGTGCATGGGAGGCAAGCCCTCTACCAACTGAGTTATCCCCAGCCCTCTGCACTGAACTCTACCTCTACTCCCAGCCGAGGGATAGAACAAAAGACTTCATTGTTGCCTTCCAGCCAGGCACAATGGCAAACACCTGTAATCCCAGAGGCTCAGGAGGCTGAGGCAGGAGGATCATGAATAGTAAGCCAGCCTCAGCAACTTAGCAAGGACAGAAGCAACTCAGCGAGACCCTGTTTCTAAATAAAATATAAAAAAGGGCTGGGTTGTGGGTCAGTGGTAAAGCACCCCTGGATTCAATCCCTGGTAACCACCCCGCTACACACACCTAAAGAAAAAAAAAGTTTCCTTTCATAGCAAGACCTCAGCAAACTCTCATCCCTGGTTCCTAAGGGATAACTTGCTGGGGAGGGTGTTGCTAGTCTCCAGAAGATAAACCCACAGCGCCCTCTGTTGGCATCTTGGGGAAACTGCTTAGCATTCCTTCCTGGGCAGGGCATAAAAGGCAAGAAGGTTCTGGGGCTCAGCACACAAATGGGAGTGGGGCAGGGTAAGGTGGCCTCTAATCCTTGACCAGAATCCTTTACTTCCTTCTTCATCTTCACTGGGATTTCTTTCCAAACTTAGGTACCTCCCATGTGCAGAATTCTGTTCTGGAAAGGTGGAAGGATAAGTTCTTTTATTTAACCAACTCACCAATCTTCTGCCCAGTTTCAGGCATGTGGCAAATACAAAGCTGATCAAGACAGGTGTGCACCTAAAGCCCACACCATCCAGTAGACACCCAAGTACCCTAAAGGTTAGACACTCTGGACAGATTCACTCCTCATGACAGAGCAGGCAGGGCAGGACCTGAGCAGTCCCTGGTGGGCCTCATTCCATCAGAGGTTGCTTGGGGTGGAAAGCTGGAGTAACAAGGCCCCACAGGGAACCCCACTGCAGCACTGGTGTGAAGGGCTTTTCTCCAACTCTTCTGTTCCGAGATCTATTCCAGTTCTGACAGACAGGGCTTCCTTCACTGCAGCCTCATGGCTCTTACCAAAGGTCACGATTGTGGATCATTCATACACTTTTCCACAATGAGACTCTCACAAGTAAAAGCCACTCCAGTATCTACCAAAGCGCCCAACCTGACAGCACTCAATAAATATTTGGCAAAAATGAAGGCTAAAGCTGAGTGCAGTGGTACACACCTGTAATCCCAGCTACTTGGGCAGCTGAGGCAGAAGGAACGCAAACTTGAAGCTGGCCTGGGTTACTTAGTGATATCCTGTCTCAAAATAAAATTTTAAAAGGGCCTGGGCTGAAGCTCAGTGGTAGAGTGCTTGTCTTGCATGCATGAGACTCTGTGTTCGATTTCAGTACTGCAAAAAAGAAAAGGGGGGAAAGTTTCCCCATCCACAAGGTCTCAAGAGTAGGCACCTATCTGTCTTAACATTTACATACCTAGCAGGCATTGTTAGGGGAGGCCCACAACATAGCACAGCTCACAGAGCTACAAAGAATCAACTTTATTAGACATTTGTGGTTAGTTTCTCTTCTTGCCCTTGCCGGTGACTTTGGCTGGTGTGAGGACTGGAGCTGTGGCCTGGTACAGAGTAGAGGAGATCTTGTTGATGTAGTACAGACCAACCATGGAGAAGATGAAGCTAGAGCAGGGTAGAGACAGAAAGACCACAGCATCACTGGGCATGCTACCAGCCTACTGCCAGGGCAGAGTCTAGCTTCAGGGAAAGAATCCAAGTTCAGGACTGGGAAACTGGGAAAACTAAAGGAGGGAACAGAGGGAGAGCTACATGGGGCAGGGGAAGCCAGGGTGATATACCCCTTACCCAGCTGTCAGGCACATACCAGGTGGTGACACAGACTCGGTGGATGAGGCCAGATGCAAAGAGAGCCAAAAGGAGGCAGAGGAGGACTAAGGAGACAAGAAGGGACAAAAAGAGTCAGGTGGTAATCACAATGGAAACCCAGGCATTTGTCCACAAAGCCTAGAAATCAGAGGCCCCCTGAATCTTGGGAAACCTGCTTGGAAGGGCGTGGCATGATGACAGGAAGAGGACTTCTAATGGTCTTCACAATGCTTAGAACACTAGCTCTGCCCCAAACCCACTAAACTTCCTAGCTTGCCTCAGCCCGAAGAGCAAGACTTGGTCCCATTTAGGAAGGGGGTTAAGGCCTTTCCAACAGATGCCAGCTAATGAGAATCAATTCGTTAAGCTGGCTGACTAGTGATGGAAGTTGAGGGACTTGCTCCCTGGACACAAGTTGGGAGACTGATTGTCTGGATACAGTCGTTTATTGGGGCAGGAAAGGACCTTAAGATATCTGGAATAGGACAAGAGAGAAGGTGGGAGGGCAGAAAGCAACGGCAAACAGGCCCATCTGCCCAGCCAGGGAGGGCAGGGAAGCCAAAGAGGAACAAGAATCTTGCCTCCCCAACAATGGTTCCTTTCAGAAATAAATGAAAATGGTACGCATGGGATCAAAATGTAACAGAGAGAAGTCCTGGGACTTGAAAGGAGCTCTGGAAGCCTGCAACAGGGCTAGGTGGAGAGAACAAGAACTAGAGGTGGGGGGGGGGCAAGAAATGAGGGCAACAATGACAGATCTGTCTTATCAGATGGAGATTTCACATGAGGTGGCATCTGCTGTGAATTTCTGAACATGTGGCATTCCTTAGGTGATCTGGCCTTAATGCCTAATTTGCTTTATGAACTTAATTCCCCATAAGTAATCAAATCATCAATTCTAAATTATTGGAACAAGTAAGGATTATTCCAAACAGAAAATAATCTCAGAGTTATCCCTTCTGCCATAAAAATTTGGTGTATGTAATACTTAGGCTCTTCACAAATTCCCTCAGTAGAACTCACTAATTTGGGGTCAATTTCACATCAGAACCCCTCTGAACTTGGTCCTGCTTCCTCTTCTGGATGAATGCCAAACATGAGCCCACACTTGTCTGTGTGCCTGAAACCTTCCCTGGAACTGGTCCTGGCTTCCAGAGGCCTTCTCTTCCAGCTGAATTCAATGTCATGAGCTAAGTTAGATACTGAATCCAAAGGTATCTTCAGAGAGTTGAGTGAACTTCTTTCTTCTTAACCACCTTTACCTTCTAAGCACTTAGAAATTCGGTGTCATGTCTGGGGAGGGTCAGAGAGGAGAGGACTCAGACACTTACTCTCAGGGAAGATCTTTGCTTGGAATCCTTTGCCAAAGACCAGATTCTCCAGATTATTGAAGGCCTGAGTTGAGTTAAGGAGAAGGGAATACAACAGGGGCAGAACTGGGAGGTGACCAGGGAAGGGCACAAGTCTACGTGGCCCTCCACCCTTCCAGCCCCTAAACGCTCCTCCCCTTCCAGCGCAGGCAGGATACTGTGAGAGAGAAGACGAAAAGGCCGGAGCCCAGCAGGCCCCCCTGGATGGTGAGCCACTCGGTGGAGGCCAGCTGGCGGCTGTACATCTGCATCCCTGCGAAGAGCAGCAGGGACAGGAGAGAGGACAGAGCCAGGGAGGTGCCGGTACCCACCACTGGAAGGGATGAGGGAAGGGACCGAGTCAGGCTCCGCCCCCCTCCAGGAGTCACAGGCACCTTGGGTCGGTCCGGAGCTCGGCAGGCCGACTACTCCCCAGCACCCAGGGCTGCAGCCGCACTCCCAGCCCCCCTCATCCCGCAGCGAGCCCCAGGAACTCCTCAACCCAGGACGGCCGACCCCTCCGGTCCCGTGGAAATGCCCGCTCCCTAGAACCCGGAGCACGTCAGCTTTGACCCGAAAGGACTTGGAAAGCCGGCCCGCCCAAACTCCGACCCCGACTAGCCAGGCCTGGGGATCCCGTCGGTCCTGTTACCCATCATGCCCCTGCAGTGGGTCGGATCCGAGCCTCCGGCCAAGAAAGAGGAGAGCCGAACTGGGCGCGGTTAATTGTGCGCATGCGTCAGCGCCCCATGCGGACTGGCTTCACCCCACCTCTTCCTCTTTCTCCCTCTCGGCGCCGGCACGCAGCGCCCTCTTCTGACAAGGAGGAAATAATGCGTCTAGGAGCATCCTCGGCCACCGCCCTGGTCCACAGCCTTCCCCTGTACCCAGTGGGTCCGCCGCCTCTCAGTACAAGCTGCACTTACGTCTTCAAGTCATTGGGCACATGGCCTCTATCCTGTAGCCCATCAGTGTCTTCTCTGCCGTTCATTTATGTCACCTCTAGCGCATGTTCCTAAACCTACCTGCCACGCTTACTGCCTCAACATCTCATGTGGGTTCTTGCCCAACCCAAACTGAAGCGCTCCCAACCTGGAGCTCATCTTCCTCTAACACTAGCCTCTTGCTATACTATGAGGAAAAATAAGAGCTAACGAAGAATTCTAACATCAGACATGCAAATACCATTCCATGTTACCCAACCCCCGTGAACGCCTTTCCAAAACCACGTGGGGTTTTGGAACTATTTCCCACCCACCCCCCACCCCGACGGGCGCCGTTCAAGGCTGGTCCCTGGAGCATGCGCAGTGACACCTCACCCCCACCCCTCCCCACACCCCCACCGGGCTCCTGCATTAAGCCCGGGGTTCGCAGCCGCAGCCGGGATCAGGCACCCGGGGGCGGGCGGGCACGGTAGGGCCATGGCTGAGGGTGAGGATATGCAGACCTTCACTTCCATCATGGATGCACTGGTTCGCATCAGTGTGAGTTAAGGTGGGGTCGAGGTGAAGGGAGGGGGGCATAGAGGGGTCCGGGATAAGCCAGAACCTGGAACAGGTGGGGATCCAGGGAGATGCTGGGGTGTTGGCAGGGGGCTAAGTGATGGCAGAAACGGCTGGGAGGGTCGGGGTGTAGGTATGAGGGTAATCCCGGCAGCCAGGAGGTGAGTACCGTGGAGGCGCCCGTTTGCTGGGATGTAAGCAACGAGGAGCTGCCCGGACGCAGCGGGTGGACTGGGGTAGCCGCCAGCAGTGCACCAGGACTGGGGCTTCAGGGGGGAAGGACTAACCTACGAGAAGGGGGCATGTGTGAGCTTGGATATTTTCCAAGAAAACTGAGGACACGTAGGGAATGATGAAGGAGCTGCTCCAGGGTGCATCTCCCAATTTGAACCCCTCCCTGAGACCCCACCCCATCGCACCCCACTCAGGGCTGCGCCGAGCCTGCGGTTGTCATGGCAACCCGTGCCCGGCTCTCCCAGGGGCGGTGCCAACCCTGCTCCCCCCCACCACTTCCTTCCCCCTCCCTCCCTGTCCCTCCCTCCTTTGTGTCAGCTGCGCCCCTGACCGGGATGGCTGCGAAGAGAGGGACCAAGGTGAGGCGTGGGGGTGGGGCATAGCTTGAGGACCCCCGCCACCAAAAGGGGGAGGGATACTTCCGGTGGGGAGGGGGCGAGTAGGCGGGGCGCTTGACCCCCCATCCTCAGCTTAGGGAAGGGGTTGAGGGCCGACCTGGTTGCGCTGCAGGAAGCGCTGAAAGTCCAAAGGGTAGGGGGCCAAGGGGAAGGGGTTGGTCTTGGGAGACTAGAGGAGATAGATGGAGAAGTGAAGGATGAAGGATGGAAGCTGGGGTGGCCGCAGGCCTGAGCCGCGGCAGGAGGATGGAGAGCAAGCAGTGCCTGGCTGGCGGGGAGGAGTCACGCGTATGGAGGGGGTGCTAGAGAAGGGGGCGGGGGTCCGCATCGAGCTGCAGAATGGGCGGTGCCCTTGATATATATGCCGGGGGTGGGGGCAGGTGGCCCAGAGATGGAGGGATGGAGACAGGTGAGCTGGGCTGCCTCCCTGGGCCTCTGCAGGCCGAGTGATGGTTGTGGGGGTTGAAGCTGGGGAGGCAGGGGTTCCAACTATCCCTTCTGCGTGGAGTCTTAGCTATACTGGAGGGAAACAGGCAAGGCACAGAGGGCTGGGAAGCAGTGTGAACCAGGCCAAGGCAGGTCCTGGGCAAAAGCCATAGGTAGCTTGTCTTGCCTCTTCTTGAGACTGCTGGGATCTCTAAAGGCAGCTGAGGGCCTGCTCAGATATGCCCAACTATCCGAGCTCTGATCCATCCTCCTGGTCCCTCCACAGACAAGCATGAAGAACATGGAGAAAGAACTGCTGTGCCCAGTGTGTCAAGAGATGTACAAGCAGCCACTGGTGCTGCCCTGTACCCACAACGTGTGCCAGGCCTGTGCTCGGGAGGTGTTGGGCCAGCAGGGCTACATAGGCCATGGTGGGGACCCGATCTCGGAGCCCACGTCTCCTGCCTCCACCCCTTCTACCCGCAGCCCCCGCCTCTCCCGCAGAACTCTCCCCAAGCCAGATCGCTTGGACCGGCTGCTTAAATCAGGTGGGGCTGCGGCCTGTGGGATGGGGGTGGGAATGTAGAGCCATCCATCAGGAAGATGGAAGGGGTTCATCACCAGTCAGGGCTGCCTGTCTGTATTTTCAGGGGTGTAGATGTTGCTTATTTGAGCTCTAGCGAGAACAGAGCTCTGGCGCAATAAAAATGTAATTTTTAAAAATTGAACAGACTTCACCCACCCACAGTCAGCTGTAACTTACCTCCTCTACCTCCGGGTCCATCTACAGGCTTTGGGACATACCCCGGGCGGAAGAGAGGTGCTTTGCACCCCCAGGTGATCATGTTCCCATGCCCGACCTGCCAGGGTGACGTGGAGCTGGGGGAGCGGGGCCTGGCGGGGCTTTTCCGGAACCTGACCCTAGAGCGTGTGGTGGAGCGGTATCGCCAGAGTGTGAGCGTAGGAGGCGCCATCCTGTGCCAGTTGTGCAAGCCCCCACCACTAGAGGCCACCAAGGGCTGCACAGAGTGTCGTGCCACCTTCTGCAATGAGTGCTTCAAGCTCTTCCACCCCTGGGGCACCCAGAAGGCCCAGCATGAGCCCACCCTGCCCACCCTCTCCTTCCGCCCCAAGGTGAGCCAACCCTTGCAGGGCCTGGGGAGGGAGGGACAGGGTGGTGCTGAATGGATGGGGTGCCTGGCATTGTGGGCTTCCAAAATGAGGTGGGCAGGGGCTTACCACTGCCAAGTTCCTTTCTCTGTAATAAAGTCATGTGAGAAAGCACTCAACATCTCTGGGCCTCCAGCTCATCTGCTGCATGGAGATGAGAATATGTGCCTTACCATATCCACACTGGCAGGGTTGTAAGTAGGATCACAGGAGATGATCATTGTTCAGTACAAAGTGCTGTTTATACATTTCGTTCACTCACTGGACAAATATTTATTGAGCACCTATGACCATGATGCTATTCTAGGCATTGGGGTACAGCAGTGAACAAGATGGACAAAGTTAATTATGAACCACAAGCCTTAGATTAATCATCACCATTATTATCATTATTACCACACATCCCAAACCATAGGTGAAAGGAGGAGCAATGCTGGTGAAATGGCATTGCCTGGACTGCAGGAAAGGTCTGTGATGTCAGTGTTCACCACCAGATGGCACTGTGGAGCACCACCCACTGATCCTTCCCCTCTCATCTGACCAGTGGAGGGAGGGCGCCCAGCTGCTCTAGTGATGGGTCAGAACTTTTACACGCACCCTTGGCTGACTAGCTCATTGCCCTTTGTATTTCTAGGGCCTGATGTGCCCAGACCACAAGGAAGAGGTGACCCACTACTGCAAGACATGTCAACGGCTGGTATGCCAACTCTGCCGGGTGCGACGCACCCACAGCGGGCACAAGATCACACCAGTGCTCAGCGCTTACCAGGCCCTCAAGGTGAGGACCCCTCCTCACCCAACCCCAGTGCCAACTCACACCCACATACCTCCTCCTAACTGCTGGCTTCTGCTGAGCCAGACATGATGCCCACCTCCTTCTTCCCCCTCAGGACAAGCTGACAAAGAGCCTGACATACATCCTGGGAAACCAGGACACGGTACAGACCCAGATCTGTGAGCTGGAGGAGACCGTCAGGCACACTGAGGTGAGGGAGGGCATGGGGGTGGGTCTTGGGCCCTACCCGGGAGTGGGAACGAGAAGGGAATGTGGGTGGGCATGCCCCCATCACCTCTCTGCCAGCTCAGGAAGTCTGTGAGGGGTACCTGTGCATGACATGGTTCTGGTTAAACTTGGTTGGCAGGAACCCTAGTGTCCCAGGGAAGGCTGTCCCTGGGACTGACTCTAGTGAGGTTGGTAAGCTGTTGCTGAGGATGAGAGTCCAGATGTCCTCAGCCTCACTCTCCTACTGAGGATCGCACACTTGCCTGGAACTCAGTGAGGTTATGGCTCTGATCTTGTGCCAGACTGAATCAGCTGACATGGGGGGGATAGGCAATGAAGTTGGCATAGCTGCCAGCGGACATTAATTAGTGTGGTCCAAGTGGACATTAGTGTGGTCATGGTCTCTCTTATTTGAATGAATCCTTAAGGGATTGGGATTATGATGGAATTAAGGAAAAATATCTCAAACTGGTATATTGATTATTTCAAGTTGAAATTGTTTGAGGAACTGAAGTTCAGAAAGGGCCATTTGGGCCAGGTGTGGTAGCTGATACCTGTAATCCCCAGGAGGCTGAGGCAGGAGGATTCCAAGTTCAAGCCCAATCTCAGCAATTTAGTGAAGCCTTTTCTCAAATTAAAAAAAGGGGGGTGCTGGGGGAGTAGCTCAATGGTAGCGTGCTCCTGGGTTCAATCCCCAGTACCACCAAAAAGAAAGAAAAAAGAAAAGTTCATTTGGCCTGTATTTCCCTACACATTACCAGCCATAAATATTCTTTTGGAAGGAATGTGCTTCACGTGCCAAGACCTGAAAATAGCTTCGATTGCCACAGACTAGTAATTGGGGCTACAACGAACCTAAATAAACAAACTATTTGAAGTGACCCTTATCTTCCACTAGCTTCTACCCCACTTCTCCACTTATCTCTTAGCAACAGCCGTAGGATTTACTACCTCAATCCAGATATTTATTTGTTCTGTCATTCTTTACAAATGTACTGGTCTGTGACTGGGGGTAAATCTCAGTGGTAGAACATGTGCATAGCAAATGCAAGGCCCCAGGTTCAATCCCTAGTACCCAAAAGAAAAAAGAAAATGTTCTTTTTTTAATAAAATTTTAAGAGCATCAGGCTTAGGTGATTTCTTTGGGATTCACTGTTTTGTAAAGATCCCCAAGTACATGTAAAATTAATAAAACTCTCCAGGCACAGTGCAGTGGCACTTGCCTATAATCCCAGCTACAAAGGAGGCTGAGGCAGGAGGAAGTTCCAGTCCAGTTTTGGCAATTTATCAAACCCTATCTCAAAATAAAAAGGACCATACCTTAGTGGTAGAGTACCCCTGGGTTCAACCCCCAGCACCACAAAAATAAATTTAAATTAATAAAACTTTTATGCTGGCTTGGCATGGTGGGGCACACCTGTAATCCCAGCAACTCGGGAGGCTAAAGCAGAAGGATCTCTCATTCAAAGCCAGCCTCAGCAAAATCGAGGCCCCAAGCAACTCAATGAGACCTTGTCTCTAAATAAAATAATAATAACTGAAAAAAGGGGGGGGCTGGGGAATGTGGATCAATGGTTAAGTGCCCTGGGGTTCAATCCCAGATTAAAGGAAAAAAAAAAAACTTTTTTGCTTTAGCCAAGCATGGTGGCTCACACCTGTAATCCCAGCAACTCAGGAGGCTGAGGCAGGAGGAGCACAATTTCAAAGCCATCCTCAGCAACTTAGCAAGGCCCTAAGCAACTTAGCAAGGCTCTGTCTCAAGATAAAAAATAAAAAGGGCTGGGTTTGTAGCTCAGTGGTAAAGTGCCCAGTACCAAAAATAAAACAAAACAAAATACAACCTTTATGCCTTTTTCCTGTATCAACTGAGTTCAACAAAAAAGGAGGAAGTAGATCTCTCTCTACCCTATAGTTATGATGTGGTCATCCAGGAAGGTTAGCACAAACCTTCAAAAGTTGAACCCAATGCCGGGTGCTGTGGTGCATGCCTGGAATCCCAGCTGCTGGGGAGGCTGAGGCAGGAGGATCACAGGTTCAAAGTCAGCATCAGCGTTCAAAGTTCTGTCTCTAAATAGGGCTTGGGATGTGACTCAGCAGTTGAGAGCCCCTGAGTTCAATCCCCAGTACCAAAAAAAAAAAAAAAAGGTGAGCCCATTTGGGGGTACAGGCCTTAGCAACCATGAGTCTGGCCCTATTAAGTTGTGTGGGTAGGATTCCCCCAGATCCCCTGTGATCCTAGTGGTGCTGTGGTGTCCCAGGAGGCTGGCACAGGAAGATAGTAAGTCATGCATCCTTTGGGTGTTGCTCCCTGGGCAGGTGAGTGGTCAGCAGGCGAAGGAGGAGGTGTCACAGCTGGTACGGGGGCTGGGGGCTGTGCTGGAGGAGAAGCGGGCATCGCTGCTTCAGGCCATTGAAGAATGTCAGCAGGAGCGGCTGACCCGTCTCAGCGCCCAGCTCCAGGAGCACCGGAGCCTGCTGGACGGCTCAGGCCTGGTGGGCTATGCCCAGGAAGTGCTTAAGGAGACAGACCAGCCTTGCTTTGTACAAGCAGCCAAACAGCTGCACAACAGGTACCGAGGGGCGTGGCACAGGGCCCAGGCTTCTGGGAGGCAGGGGCATTTGGGGGTAGCGACCTCTCAGACAGTGTCTAGAGTCCTTGCCAGGCTGAGAGCTGGCGCCTTGAGGGTTTTCATTAGGCCAAACTGAGGCCCGCGTATTCCAAGGGGTGAGGAAGAGACCCGAGGCAGAGGCCAAGGTTCTCAGGGGCAGGCAAGGCAAAATCAAGGGGAAGGGTGGCTGCCCAGACGGCAGTGCCTAATCCCTTCCTGCCCCCATCCCAGAATTGCCAGAGCCACTGAGGCCCTCCAGACATTCCGACCAGCTGCCAGCTCCTCCTTCCGCCATTGCCAGCTGGATGTGGGGCGTGAGATGAAGCTGCTGACAGAGCTCAGCTTTCTTCGAGGTAAGGAGGCGGCCAGGCCCTTGCCCAACCAGAGCCTTCCTCCCCTCCTCCCCAGCAGCGGGCCCGGGGGGCAGTGCCCACCAGGGAGCTCCCCGGCCTCCCACCCAGCCCACCTGCCACACCGTCCTCCCGCGCTCAGCGCTGCTTCTCCCTCTCTTTGTTTGTAGGCTGTGGCCACCGCGGACTCTGCTCCGGAGCACCCCAGGCAAGTCAGCGGCCCTGCCCCGGGGGCCCTGCCCCCCGCCGGGCCCCCAAACCGGCCCCTCCCGTGCTCCAAGCAGCTCAGCCCCCCACTCAGTGCTTTCTTCTTTCTGCTCTACCGACCTCCTGGTCCTCCCACTTGACCAGTGCGGTCTCTTTTGAGCCTTCTTTGGGCCCTGCCCTTCTCATCTTTTGTCCTGGGACCCCTATTCTCTTCCCCTTGACCCCCACGCCCTGCCCTGCTGTAGCTTGCTTTCTCTCTGTCACCTCCCTGTTTCTGTCTTGCCGATGCTGGCACCTCCGCCCCAATCCTGCTTCCCCTCTCTGCTGCTCAGGGCCCTCTTGCCTGGGTTCCCGTGGCCTTTGTCTGCCCCCCCTGGGGCTCCTCTTAATTCAGAGACTGTCTAAGCCAAAAGGAGCCCCCGGAGCTTATCTGGTCTGACACCCTTAAGTGACCCAGGAGGAAACTGAGGCTCAGGAAGGGAAATTGACTCACCTCAAGTCCAGGCCTCCTGACTCCTGCCCAGTGCTCTCCCACCTCTTCTTCCTTGGGCCCTGACCTGTCCACCCAGTGCCCAGATGGGCTCTCTCCTCCGATCCCTCACCCACACTCACCCCCCCGGCTCCCGCTGCTTTCCCTTTTCCTGCCTGCCCTGCCCTTCATGCCAGGCCAGTGATCAGGCCCTGACTGACCCCCGCTGTCTCTTCCCACAGTGCCCGAGGCACCCGTCATTGACACCCAGCGCACCTTTGCCTATGATCAGATCTTCCTGTGCTGGCGGCTGCCCCCCCACTCACCACCTGCCTGGCACTACACGGTCGAGTTCCGTCGCACTGATGTGCCTGCCCAGCCGGGCCCCACCCGCTGGCAGCGGCGGGAGGAGGTGAGGGGCACCAGTGCTCTCCTTGAGAACCCTGACACAGGCTCTGTGTACGTGCTGCGTGTCCGGGGCTGCAACAAAGCCGGGTACGGCGAGTACAGCGAAGACGTACACCTGCACACACCCCCAGCACCTGGTAAGTGACAGGCGGGCGGCACGGAGTGGCAGACACAGACATCTGTGCAGGGGGCATGGGGATGCCAGGCTTGGGTCCTCCACGGGTTCCAGATGGACACTGTACATACAGACAGTGTATTTTTTTTTAATGGGGGTTGGGGTACTGGGAATGGAACCCAGGGACATTTTACCACTGAGCAACATTCCCAGGCCTTTTTTATTTTTTATTTTATTTATTTATTTACTTATTTTTGCTGGGGACTGAACCCAGGGCCTTGTGCATGCCAGGCAGGCCCTCTACCAAATGAGCTATACCCCAGCTCCCAGCCTTTTTTTTTTTGAGGGGCTGGGGTTGTGGTTCAGCGGTAAAGCACTCACCTAGCATGCGTGAGACGCTGGGTTCAATCCTCAGCACCACATAAAAATAAATAAAATAAAGATATTGGGCCCAGCTACAACTAAAATATATATAAAATTGAGGGGCTGGGGATGTGGCTCAAGCGGTAGTGCGCTCACCTGGCATGCGCAGGGTGCTGAGTTCGATCCTCAGCACCACGTAAAAATAAAATAAAGATGTTGTATCCACCAAAACCTAAGAAATAAACTTAAAAAAAAAATTGAGACAGGGTCTTGCTAAGTTGTCCAGGCTGGCCTCAAACTTGTGATCCTCTTGCCTCATAAACTGAGATTAAAGGCAGCTTAGAGGGATGGTTTAATACTGTTGGTCGTGTGCATTCATACTCTGGAGCTAGACCTCTTGTATTCTAATCCCAGATCTAACTCTTGCTGTGTGCTTTTCAACAAGTTTTTCACCCTCTCTGAACTTCAGAGTCCTGTTCTACAGGGGACAGTATTGCTGCCAGGCATGATGGTGTGTGTCTATAATTGCAGCAATTTGAGAGGCTGAGGGAGGAGGATCATAAATTTGAGGTCAGCCTGGTCAACTTAGCAAGATCCTGTCTCAAAATGGAGAAAAGAAAAAAAAAAGGGAATTACAAGAGCTGAGGCTATAGTTCAGTGGTATCCTGGGTTCAATCCCAGTCCCCCACAGAATAATAACAACAATAAAGATGCTTCATCGAGTTGTGTGAGAATTTAACTGTTCTGAGGCAACACTGGTGAAGACAGCACAGTTTCTGGCTCATAGTTCAATAAATGTCAGGAAAGTGACTCTAGAAAACAGTTTGCATGCTGGGACCTGGGCATGATAGGGGACACTTACCACCAAAGCAAAGGCAGAGAGGGAGGGTTGGATATAGGGCAGGTGTGAGCCCCCGACTATCCCGAGGGCCTACCATGGGGCAGAGGTTGGAGGAGGCCTTGTGAGTCCGTCAGATCTGGGGCTCTGGTTCTTGTTCACTAGTCACCAGTGAAACTTCCTGGAGCCCGTGTCCACTTGGAATGTCCCTTTCTTTTTCTCTTATGAGCCTCATTTCAGTTCCCCAGGTCCGTTCTCCTGCGTTCCCCTACCTCTGCCTGGTAACTGAATACCCTGAGAGGTTGTTCCCTGTTCTGAAATCTCCCAGGGTCTTGTGCTCACGCCTCACTGTCCCCAGTGCCAGCGTTTGTTCCTGATTCTTCCTTCTGTCTCAACCCTCCTCCCTGTTCCAGTTCTGCACTTCTTCCTCGATGGCCGCTGGGGTGCGAGCCGCGAGCGGCTGGCTATCAGTAAGGACCAGCGAGCAGTGCGGAGTGTCCCCGGGCTGCCCCTGCTGCTGGCTGCTGAGCGGCTGCTGACTGGCTGTCACCTGAGTGTGGATGTGGTCCTGGGCGATGTAGCTGTGACCCAGGGCCGCAGCTACTGGGCCTGTGCCGTAGACCCTGCCTCCTACCTGGTCAAGGTGGGCGTCGGGCTGGAGAGCAAGCTTCAGGAAAGCTTCCAGGGTGCCCCGGATGTGATCAGCCCCAGGTCAGGCCCCTTTGGAGGGAATGGGGACCCTGGGTGGGAGCCAGGGACAGGGCAGAGGTAGCAAGTGCAGCACCCAGAATTGCCGTGATGGGGTTTGGAAGGAAGCAGCAGGAACAGAGGAGCCAGGCTGGGAGGCTGTGGGTTCAGCACAAGGGTCTTTGAGGATTGGTTTTCAGGGTGTGTGGCTGGGGAAAGGGACGAGGGAAGGGGAAGCCATTATCACTTGCTTCTGTCTGTCACTCAAGACCAGAACCCCACATCTCCACATCCTCATGTCCTTTCTAGCGCCCTATTTTTTCCATGAAACCTTTTCCCTCCAGAACTTCCTTCACCCCCATCTTTTCTCAATTCTTTCCTTAAACATCTCATTTCTACAAGCCGTTTCCCTCCCCGCATCTTTTTTTTTTTGATACCAGGGATTGAACTCAGGGGCGCTTAACCACTGAGCCACATTCCTAGCCCTTTTAATGTTTTATTTTGAGACAAGGTTCTCATTAAGCTGCTTAGGGCCTTGCTACCTTGCTGAGGTTGGATTTGAACTCATGATCTTCTTGTCTTAGTCTCCCAAGCCACTGGGATTACAGGCATGCACCACTGCACCCAGCCATACCTTCCCCCATCTTAATCACTAACCCCTCATCCTTTCTAACTCTCAAAACCCTCTCCCCAGCTAGGCACAGTAGCACATGCCTGTAATCCCAGCGACTTGCCCTCTAATCCCAGTGACTCGAGAGGCTAAACCAGGAGAATCACAAATTCATGGCCAACCTCAGCAATTTAGCAAGACCTTAAGCAATTTAGCAAGACCCTGTCTCAAAATGAAAAATAAAAAAGGACTGGAGATATAGCTTAGTGTTAAAAGTACCCTGGGTTAATCCCAAGTACCAGCATGATTTCCTGAACACCATTTTTCTCAACATCTTTCTATCCTGATAAGCACCACATTTGGTGTGGAGAGTACTAGGAATTTAACTCAGGGGCACTCTATCTCTGAGCTGTATACCCAGCCCTCTTTTTATTTCTTATTTTATTTTTTTGGTATCAGGGGATTGAATCCAGGGATGCTTTACCACATCTCCAGCCCTTTTTATTTTTAATTTTGAGACAGGGTATCTCTAAGTTGCTGAGGGCCTTGCTAAGTTACTGCGGTTGGTTTCGAACTTGCAATTCTCCTGCTTCAGCCTCCTGAGCCCCTGGGATTACAGGCATGCACCATTGCACCCAGCTCTTTTTAACTGTTTTAAAGTTTTGAAATAGGGAGTCTTGTTAAATTGCTGAGGCTGGCCTCAAATTTGTAATCCTCCTGCCTCAGCCTCCAGAGTCGCTGGGATTACAGGCATGTGCGACTATATCCAGCTGCCACATTTCTTTAGTGTGCTGTGCAAATACTTACCTTCCCTTTTCTCCAACGTCTCTCATCAATGTGCTTTCCTTTCAATAACCCTTTCCCACCAAACCAAGCCCCCAACCCTATACTCTGAACCCTGTCTCTTCGATCCAAAGTCAATTTGTTCCACCTCTTACTCCCAGCATTCCATCCTCCCAACATCTCATCCTCCTGGTCTCCTGTGCCTGGCTCCCTTATTCCACCCCCAACATCCTCCTACCCAACTCCCCCTTCCGCAGGTATGACCCGGACAGCGGGCATGACAGCGGTGCAGAGGATGCCACCGTGGAGGCGTTACCACCCTTTGCTTTCCTAACCATCGGCATGGGCAAGATCCTGCTGGGGTCTGGAGCAAGTTCAAATGCAGGGCTGACAGGGAGGGATGGCCCGGCTGCCAGCTGCACAGTGCCCCTGCCACCCCGCCTGGGTATCTGCTTGGACTATGAGCGGGGTCGGGTCTCTTTCCTGGATGCTGTGTCCTTCCGGGGGCTCCTCGAGTGCCCCCTGGACTGCTCAGGGCCTGTGTGCCCTGCCTTCTGCTTCATAGGGGGTGGTGCGGTACAGCTGCAGGAGCCTGTGGGCACCAAGCCGGAGAGGAAAGTCACCATTGGAGGCTTCGCCAAGCTAGACTGATCCTTTCCGACGGCTCTGTCGACCTGGAGTCTCACTGGGCCCTGGCTTCCCCGAGCCTCCCACACTGGGTTGTTTCCCCAGCAACATCTCCCCCAACTCTTCCTGACATGTGGTCCTGCCCCTCACCTTCTGTCTGTGTCTTCCCAGGGCTTTCTCTTGACCAAGGGACTCTCCTCAGCTCACCTCTCTGGATGCCCCCCATTCTCTCCATTGCCTGTTAGTTAGCCCCAGCCCCCATGCCCACCAAGCCTCCGCCCCTTGCCTTGCCCTTGGCATCTTACCCAAATCATGGAGAGAGCCCCTTCCTCACCCTTGTCTTGTGCCAAGGCTGACTGGGAGGGAGGGCGCCTGGAATACTGGGCATGATCCCCAGCTCTGCCCTTTGCCTTGCCAAACTCCCTGCCCCGTTGATGCTGAACTACGTACAGCCTTGGGGCAGACGGGCTTTTGGTCTCCCGAGTGGGGACAGGACCCTATCATCCTGCTTTATTTGGGTCTCCCCTACCCCCCAGCCGCATGCCCCTTACCTCCCTCTTTTCCCGCCTGCATGCTTTACCTGTCCCGTACCCATGCCAACTTGCCAAGTCTCCCTTGGGGACCCGGCTGAGGCTGGATGTTCCTGCTGGGTTGGGCCAGGCAAGGCGTCTCGTGCTTGCTGCTGCCTCCCTGCAGTGGGCACTCTAGACCTGTGCCAAGCAACAGCTGTAACTTTCATGGTTTATAACAATAAACTGTGACGCCAGGCACATTTCTGCCTTCCCCGAGCGTGACCATTCCTCTTGGTTTCTGTGCAGTGTATGGGGGTGGAAGGGTTCCAAGGTGCTTTGGTCAGGGTAGGGTGCTTGAGGGAAGGAGCTACCCAAGCCAGGTACTCCCAGCCTCCTGCCACACCTGTACTAGGCCCAGGCCCCAGCTTACCATAGCTGCCAGGAGGCACAGCACCCTGGCTGCTGCGTCAGGTCCTAGACAGGGCACCTGGACAGCCACACTGGGCCCCGGGGGGAATGTGGTTCAGGGCCCGGGCATCGTGCCTGGGCCTAAAAGGGTCACGGAACCAGAATCACTTCCCCATTCCCAGGGTGCCTGGGATCCCACCCTAGGGTTAGCAGTGGGTGTGGCGTTGAGGGGCCAGGGTGGGGGCAGGGTCTGGCGCCAGCTGCTGGATCTGACCCAGCCCCCACTTATCACAGTGGTGTTGACTCTGGTGCTGTTATCACTGCCCAAGGATTTGCTTCACACCCAGGCAGCTAAGAATAGAGCTGCCTGGGGGCACAGTGCCAGCAGGAGAGGAGGGTGGCCAGCCCAGTGAAACCCAGGCTGGAGGAGAGGGGACAGCCATCCACTGGCTGAGCCACGTGCTGACGGAGCCGAGTCATCCTGGCCCACCGGAGCAGGCCTAGGAGGTTTCATTTCCTTCTTCCTCCTGTGCCACCAGGAATGGAGGAGAGGTGACTCTTGAGTTCTCCAGCAGGTCACCCTATGCCCCAGTATCACCTCTTTCCCCACATCGGCTTCTCAAACCCTGCTCCTTGCCTCCTTTCCACCTCCAACCTCCCAAAAGTCCCTTCCAGGGTTCCATCTCTGACACATTCTAATGGACCCTCCTTTCCACCAGTTGCAGATTGAAAGATCACAAGTTGGCAGGACAGGAGGCCACATTTTATTCAGTCATGTTTGGGTTCTCACCTCCATTGCCAGAATTCCTAGGCCAATCCTCCTGAGAGCTACCAGGGCCCCACTGTCCCAGGCATATCCCCCGGGGCACAGCTGGGCTTCACCAGGCTAAGATGGGTTAGGGGGCTTGGTAAAGCCTCTGAGGGAGGCTGTGAGCAGCCCACCGGAATTCCCAGCTCATCAGCCCAGATTGGGAGAGAGGGGCTCTGGCAGTGAAGAACTTGAGGCACTTCTGGCAGCTGAGCGCTGAGCAGGTGACCTGTCCCTACAAGTTGGCAGAAGTGGCTGCCACTGCTGGGTTCGTGTAAGAGAGGCTGCCTCCGCCATTGCCTGCAGACACCTGGGTGGAGGGAAAAGAGATCCAGGGTGAGGGGCAAAAGCTATCTCTTGGGACCGCTGGATGGCTCCCCAGTCTGGGGTAGTCAGCCCAGGGACTGGATCAGCTCTCAAGGGGTTAACTTGGAGACAGCACCTGCAGCCCCACCAGCAGCCAGGTGACTGTAAACAGCCTCCTCTCACTGCTCCCTTCCACTCCCTCCCCAGGCTCTGCTCAGCCCCCTGGCCTGCCCAGCCTGCACCTTGCCCGCTTCTCTCTCCATTTTCTGCTCCTCCAGCCCAAGTGGGGGGTTGTGCGCACGCGAGCATATAAAACTGGGAGAAGGAGATCCCCAGAAGGAGAGAAAGGGAGGCAGGAAAAGGAAACTCATCTCCTCCCCCACTTGAGTGGCTTTCCAGTCCTGGGTGACTGCTATAATTATTTACTAGGTCCTGCACAGAAAGGCAGTGTGTGTGTGTGTGTACAGGTGGTGGGGGGGGTGTCCTTGCTTCCCTGAGGCTCCCAGGAACCCCTCAGCTCCACTACCTGATTTGGTGAGATTTCTTCCTCTCCCCTGGAGACCCCCCAGCCTTTGTCAATCTACTCCCCACTCCAAGGAGGAGGTGAACCAGGCCCAGGTGTACTCTTGTGACTCTGCAGGAAGAGCTCCCCTGGACACACTGCCCCACCCGTTTTGCCTCTGGGCATCCTACTGAGCACTGCCCTGGTGCCCATTCAGCCAGTGGTGAATGTGGACAGGTAATGAATGCTCTTTGGGGAATGTTGGTAATGAGGTTATTCCCTCTTGAGGTCCCCTTGCTTCCTTGATCTCTTTCCCAGACCTGTGCCCCAGAGCACCCCCACCAATCTTGCCAGGCTCTTTAAGGCTCACCTCTTACAAGCTCTTTGGGTTTCCAAATACCCCCCTGGAACACCTCCCCAGCCAGAGCCTCTGCCTCCATTCCCTGCTTGGGTGGGGCCCAGCCTCACCTCCTCATAGGGGCTACGGTTGGTACTTCCAGGGGGCATATAGCGCCCATGGGTGTGATAAGTGGGGTATTCACTCATAGGATGGTAGGTTTCCCGGGATGGAAAGATATCCAGATGCCCATAGTTCTTTTGGCGACACCGACACACCGCCTGGGGAGACAAGAATGTATGCTGGACCACAGGGTTCCCTCTACCAGGGGATTCCAGTGAAGGCCAGAGACTGAGTACTTACCAAGGCAATGAGATATAAGATGGCCAACGCAAGTAGAACACAGACCAGCACCAGCAGGGCAATGCCCCAGCCTGGTACCCCAGACCCAGACTGGGCAGAGGAAGGAAACAGCACCTCATTCGCTAAAAGGAAAAGCAGTGGTCAAGGAAGTCTCCAAAAGGAGGTAGCCCTCCTCCTGCTAGCACCAAAGGAAAGAGCACAACTGGAGGGAGAGGAGACCTTTCATGGGGCTCGGCTCTAGTTGGGGATGTAGCCTCACCCTTGATTCTTGAGATGTTCAGGTTATAATTCGATCCTTCCTCTTTGAGCTGATAAAACTGTGACATCACTTCTTTGGCATTGGTGGTACCCTCCCGGAAGACGAGAGTCAGTTCTACCACCACAGATCCTGGTCTGGTCATAGGAAATACTCAATTCAGCCAAAGGTCCCAGCTTTTGGCTCATTATTTCCCCCCAACCTTAAACACAATGGTCCCGCACAACATTGATGACAACAAGCCCCAACACACACACACAGAGTCTGACCCAGAACTGTACCTGAACATGATATTAAAGAGGCCCAGAAAACCATCTTGTTTATAAACCTGCAAAACCTGGATGAGAGGAAAAGGACTCAGGCTTAATGCAAAAGATTAACTAATTCTGAAAGCTGCCCTAAGGGAGTATGGCAAAGGAAAGGCAGATACCCACCAATTCAGAAATGTTCCTCTGCAGTTCTTGATAGTAGTTGGTTCTAGGGTTTTCCAGGGAAGAATTAAACTTGAGGTTTGAAATGTAAAAAGACAGGGAGAAGAAAGAGACCCTAACATACACCTGGGAAGGAGAACTATGATTGGAGGAGGTGGAGGGAGGCACCGTGCTATGGCTATTGCTACTGGCAACAGTACTGTTGCTCATGTTGGCAGCGGTGGTAGAAATGTCAGACGGCTGGCTGGAAACTGAGGATTTAGTACCCTTGTCGAGTAGGGTTGTAGTAGCCATAGTAGAAGTGCCACTGTGTACTGAAGTGGCAGCTGAGACTGATGAAGTCCCCGCAGTTGGGGCTAAAGTGTCATTGTGGGCTGGGGTGGAGGCTGAGCTGCTTGGAGCCCCATTGGTTCCAGATGAGGTGCCATGATGGGCTGGGGTGGAGGCTGAGCTGCTTGGGGCCCCAGTGGTCCCAGATGAGTGGCTATGGTGGGCTGGGGTGGAGGCTGAGCTGCTTGGAGCCCCAGTGGTCCCAGATGAGGAGCCATGGTGGGCTGGGGTGGAGGCTGAGCTGCTTGGAGCCCCAGTGGTTCCAGATGAGGTGCCATGATGGGCTGGGGTGGAGGCTGAGCTGCTTGGAGCCCCAGTGCTCCCAGATGAGTGGCTATGGTGGGCTGGGGTGGAGGCTGAGCTGCTTGGAGCCCCAGTGGTCCCAGATGAGTGGCTATGGTGGGCTGGGGTGGAGGCTGAGCTGCTTGGAGCCCCAGTGGTCCCAGATGAGTGGCTATGGTGGGGTGGGGTGGAGGCTGAGCTGCTTGGAGCCCCAGTGGTCCCAGATGAGTGGCTATGGTGGGCTGGGGTGGAGGCTGAGCTGCTTGGAGCCCCAGTGGTCCCAGATGAGGAGCCATGGTGGACTGGGGTGGAGGCTGAGCTACTTGGAGCCCCAGTGGTCCCAGATGAGTGACTATGGTGGGGTGGGGTGGAGGCTGAGCTGCTTGGAGCCCCAGTGGTCCCAGATGAGGTGCCATGATGGGCTGGGGTGGAGGCTGAGCTGCTTGGAGCCCCAGTGGTCCCAGATGAGTGGCTATGGTGGGCTGGGGTGGAGGCTGAGCTACTTGGAGCCCCAGTGGTCCCAGATGAGTGACTATGGTGGGCTGGGGTGGAGGCTGAGCTGCTTGGAGCCCCAGTGGTTCCAGATGAGTGGCTATGGTGGGCTGGGGTGGAGGCTGAGCTGCTTGGAGCCCCAGTGGTCCCAGATGAGTGGCTATGGTGGGCTGGGGTGGAGGCTGAGCTGCTTGGAGCCCCAGTGGTCCCAGATGAGGTGCCATGGTGGGGTGGGGTGGAGGCTGAGCTACTTGGAGCTCCAGTGGTCCCAGATGAGGTGCCATGATGGGCTGTGGTGGAGGCTGAGCTGCTGCTTGGAGCCCCAGTGGTCCCAGATGAGGTGCCATGGTGGGGTGGGGTGGAAGCTGAGCTGCTGCTTGGAGCCCCAGTGGTCCCAGATGAGTGGCTATGGTGGACTGGGGTGGAGGCTGAGCTGCTTGGAGCCCCAGTGGTCCCAGATGAGGTGCCATGGTGGGCTGGGGTGGAGGCTGAGCTGCTTGGAGCCCCAGTGGTCCCAGATGAGGTGCCATGGTGGGGTGGGGTGGAGGCTGAGCTGCTTGGAGCCCCAGTGGTCCCAGATGAGTGGCTATGGTGGACTGGGGTGGAGGCTGAGCTGCTTGGAGCCCCAGTGGTCCCAGATGAGGTACCATGGTGTGCTGGGGTGGTGGCAGAGCCTGATGGAGATCTGCTGCTTGGAGTTGCAGTGATCACAGAATTGGCCGAGTTTAGGGCAGTGTTGGAGACTTGAGATAAGGTAACGCTATTCTGTCCTGGAATGGCAGCAGAGCATGAACCAGAGCTGAGGTGGGAGTAAACTTTTGGTCATTCTCACAGTACTTCTCTCAACACAGTTGGACACTGGGTTACTTTCTGACCTAATTGGAGCCAGAAATTGTAGGAACTACTGGGTTGGAGGGCAAATCAGAGCAAGGAGAAAATATAACCTTTGCTAACAGGAGAAGTAATATCAGGAGGACTGGGGATTGGTCGGCAGCCCCTGGGTCTGCCCCCCTCCTCCTACCCTGCTGGCAGCCTCTCCCACTCTTCCCATACACCTCTGCTCCTGGCTGGTCCATTTCTTCACTCCTAAGACTTACCCTTCCCGACTCCCTTCCCTCCTAGACTTCTCTTCGGGACATTCTCTTCCCCTGCACCCCCTCTCCTGAGGGCTGCCTCTTCTCAGCCTGTCCTGAGTCTCTCTCCTTCATTCTGGTACCAACCTGTTCACACCTGTCTGCAATTTCTGACTCTCATGGTGCCATCTGCCAGGAAATAAAACCCACAGAAAGTCCAGGAATACCACATGAGCAGGGCAGCCCCCTCCAAACCTCAGGCCCCTCACCTGGAAGCACTGGGAGAAGCAGCAGCAGGAAGAAGGGGGACTGGATGCCAGGTGTCATGGTGGTGTTGAACTGGTGGGGAGGGGGCAGAGCAGACTCCAGCCGCACTGCAGTGAGTTGGAGCGGCACTGGCGCCTGCTGCTTTATACCAGTCCCCCCCTTCCGCCCTAGGCACAGCCGGAGCAGGTGACAGGTGACAAAACTCCGCCCCCCTTCCCCCTTCCTTACCTCCTGCCTTTTCCTCCTCCTCCCCAACCATTCCTGAGTAGGGTACATGGGCTCCAATCACTCAACTTCTGACAACCTGTTTGTTCTTCACTGACCTCCCCTTTTACCAACCACTCCCTGACTCCAGGAGGCGGGTGTGGGGGAGGGGGTTAGGGAGCGTGACCCACCCCCGTTCTACTTGTAGCCCCAGCACAACAGCTAAGGTGAGGAAAGGGAGCACAGAAGGGGGGCCTAGTGAAGGCCCTGACAGCAAGGCCAGGAGGCCTACCCCGAGGTCCGCCACTCTATTTCCCTCCCCTCCCGGGTCCTTTGAAGCCCCACTCTGCGTGCTGAGAAGAAATAAGGGTGCTTAATAACGAGTGAACTAGGTGCTAGTTTTGGACTCCCTCCCTGCCCCCCTCCACTTCCCGGAATAGCCCCACCCTTCTAACCGCTCCCTGTCCCGTTCCACACACGGTTCTACCCTGAAACCCACAGTCCCCGCCCCGGCCGGCCGGGCTTTCCAGCAGCCTGGGTTCCCTCCTTGGCTTTCTCCCGAGAAGGGGGCGGGGGGGAAATTTCCACTTCAAGAAGGTCGAAACCAGGGCTCTGCCGAACCCTAGGGTTCTTCCTTTCCAGCCTCCACCTCGAGCTGCTGCTGGGAGCTCCTGCCCTCTAGTGGCCGACCCTGGCGTCCGGAGGGGCCCCGATCCAGGGGAGAGGAGGTTGGGCGACGTTGACTGAATGGGGGCAGTGAGATCCTGGGGAAGCTGGGCCCTGGCGGGAAGTATCAATGTCTTGGAAGGAAAGCGGGGGGAGGGGGGGGCCACACACAACCGTGGGGTCGGGGGCAGTAGGTGGGGGACTCAGACGCTTGGGGGTGGTGTCTGGAGGAAATGATTCTAAGTGGGTGGGGTCCTGAGGCTTATAGAAGGGGCGTCGAGGTCTCTGGGAGAGGACATCGGAATGTGGGAGGGGGGAGTAGGACAGGTTAGTCGCGGATTTAGGAGGCCGAGTAGGTGGAGCGACAGAATGGAATTTAGGAATACAACTGTCCTCCGGGGAGCAGAGTGGTGCAGGTGCGTGTGCGTTGGGAGAGCAAAACCGTACGTGAGGGTGCGTCATTTGGGAGAATCGAAAGGTACTTTGAAGGCCGGAAATGTTTGCGGGGAAGGGAGGTATTTGGGGCCAGTGCGGCACGTGGTCTCAGGGTGTAGGCTGGGTCCGGGTTCCCGCTGGTGGCCTAGGCCAACAGAGGCAGTGTCGAGGGGATGGGGAAAACAACTCTTAGCCCCGACAACACAGACTGGAAACCAGTACTTTAAGAACATTCCTGCATGGCGCGAGACTGGAGGAAAGCCCAGGCAGGAGCGGGGCACCACCGCTCCCGCGCCCGCGGCTCGGCCTCCAAGGCACCGCTTTGTGCCGCGCCGTAGCCCGTGGGCGGCGCTGGGCGCGGTACGTCCGCGCGCTCGCGAGCGGGCTGGAGGCGGGGAAGGCCCCCCACCAGCCCGTTAGAGAAAGTAGGAATATCTAGGTGGGCGGCCCCAAACCTCAACTCTGGAGTTGCCTGGCAACAGCCATTCAGTTCGGTTGCTGGGACACGCGTCACCATGGTGACGGCTCCGCGCCGCTCAGTCTGAGTATTTAAAGAGCAAGCGCGCGCAACGCCCGGGCGTCGGAAAGCGGCGTTCCTGGGCACCGCGGTCTCCCCTTCTTCCTTCACCCTTAGAGGCGCCAAGTCTTTGGCCTGCTTCTAAGGTGAACCCAACTCCCCAAAGTGCACCCCAGTCCTTGAGCCCGGCTGGCTTCAGGCTGTAGGGAGTGGGATCCCGGGCCCCGGGCGGGCGGGAGGGACGGGACGCGGTGCAGTGTTGTTACTTCCCCCGCCAATATTGCACTCGTCCCGGCCTCCGGCCCCCTCGGCCCCCCGGCCTCCCCCTCTCCTCAAGCGGGGCAGCCCCCGCCCTCCTGGCTTTCGATACCGGCTGATCTAAGATAGACTGGAGTGTCGCCGCTGCCACCGTGAGTAAGTGGGGCTGGGAGGACTTTAGCCATCCTCCGAACAGCACCTCATCCTTCACTTAACCCCATCTGGCACCTTCTCCACCCGCGACCCAAATCAGCCAAACTTTCCTTAGCTCTCTAACTTCTAGCCTACCAGCTTTCCTCTGACGCCCTCAGGTTCCTTCTTGATTCCCACCCTAACCCAGAAAACCCCTAAACAAGCAATTGCACTGGCTTAGAAAACAACCGGAACTTTATGGCAATCTGCTATTTTCTTTCCTGGGGTTAGTACCTGAGTAATACCCCTTGAAAATGTCCCAACACCTGAACAGTGGGGGTGCTGCCCCACTGGGGCTGAACTGACGGGTGCCAGAGGAGGGTCTATGTTTGGCTGAGGGGCTGTAGTTTAGACCTCAGAGTCTCCAGGATGGACCCCAAGGCCAGAGAGTCTAAAATCAGGAATCCGGTGGCCACCTCCTCACACCCTTCCCTGCAGCAGCTGCCTCCGGAATGGCTCAAAGTCCTCGGGCACTGTGTCTGAAGAAGGGGAAATAAGTAAGGTCAGAGAATGTGACTCTTCCAGGACATGTGAGGGGTCAGGTTGATCTGTCTAGAGCCTCACCGTTGCATCGATACTGGAGATTGGACCAAATGATGTTTTCCTGGGAGAAGCAGAATACACCAAGACGCCCCCCTCGCATGGATGTGTCGATGATCACCCCAGAATCCGCCACTAGCTGGGGACCCTCATAGAGCTTCACCCTGTCCAGGATAGGGGTGGGTGTCCGTTGGTGCTAAGGTGCCAGTGGGTACAGTGCCTCCATGTCCCAGGCCCTGCTCATCCCAGCCCCCCTTGAGCTCACCAGGCTGAAGAGAGAAGGGAGAGGAGGAAAGGGGAGGGAAGGGGTGCTTTTCTCAGGCCAGGGGCCCCTAGCTCTTTGTCCAGCCCCTTTTGCATCTCAAAGCACCAGCCGCATTCCAAGCGAGGATTGGGTTGCCATGGCGATGAGCACAATGGGCAGGGGGGTGAAGTCACCCGCTTCCCAGGCTCTAGTCAACCCCCCTTTATCCCCAGCTCTGGCGCCCCACAGCACTAGGCACCTTAAAGGGGCACCAACCCCAGGCCCCTGGACTCTGAGTTCTTGACTGAAAAAAGTCCAGCCTCCAAGCACACCCATTTTCCCTCCCTTCTCCAGTTGTCCCCATCAACTAGGGACATTTGTGGGAAGGAACTGCAAAGTTGTGGACAAAGTGCTGAACTGAGAGGCCTGGGAGGTCTGGGCCTCTGTAAAATCCCTTCCAGGTCAGCTGCTGATGAAGTAGGCTCTGGGCTGTGCCACTTAGGAGGTTGGAAGTGATGGGCCCCGTACAGACTGGCCTGGGGTCTGAGGGCATCTAGCTCAATGCTCTTATTTTACAGAAGAAAAATGGGGCACAGAGAAGGAATGATGTGCCCAACACTGGCTACAGGTCCTGTCTGTGGTGAGAAGGGAGATGGAGAGAAGTGGCCATGGTCCCTACCCATGGCACTGAGGAACTGAGCAGAGGAGAGGTCACTGGTGAGTCCCAGCTAAAAGGGAAGGAAAGGCCCCAGCCTGGGGTCCTCCGGATGGACTCGGCCCCTCTCCTCACCGAATATAACCAACTTGAGGCCGGTGCAGCAGCTGCCAGCGATAGGAGGTCTTGTCACGCCAGCCCACATTTCGTGGGTCAGTCCATAACAGCCGTACCTGGTCAGGGGTATGGCCAGTATGCCACAGGGCATTCCGGAGGTGCTCACCTGGGCCAGACACTGATGTCACTGCCTGGGGGTCATTGGCAAAGACACTAGGTCAACCATGGGACCAAAGAGAAGGGAAACACAAAGCTGGTACCTACAGGTGGGAAGGGAGTCAAGGAGGCCCACAGAGCCGACCTGCAGGCCAGAGTCCTGAGGATTCCCGATCAGGCAGGAGAGGAGGCCCTGGGGTTGGCAGGGGAGAGCTTTGGGAACAGGCCTAGGTTGGGGAAACTGGGCAGCTGGGTTACCTTGAGCTGCAGCCCCGGCTGGGCAACAGCACGGAAAGGTGTGGCCTGCCAGTAGGTCTGCTCTGTCTGCTTCCACATGACCACATAGAAGCGGCCACTGTCCTGGTAACTGAAGAGAAAACCTGCGTAGTCATCGTCAGTCACTGTGTTCACATGGAAGGTGCCTTCAAAGTCCACACCATTGAAGGCTGTGTATCCTGGGGTGGGGGTAGGGGTGGGGTAAAGGTCAGGGGCAGCAAGTGGCCCACCGCAGGAGGACTGGGAAGGGGTGCCTGCAGTATGTGTGGCCAGCTTGTCCACTGCCTTCTCTGTTGCCTTCGCCCATCTTTCCCCTCCCTTTCCTCCCTCATGCTCTGTCCCTGAAGAATTCTTCCATTTGGAAATTATTGAACTGGATGACCCCATACATACCAACTGCCAGGCCAGGGTCACTGTTCATGGTCTGAACGATTTCCATGCCCTGGGGTTGTTCAGGAAAGAAATAAGCCCTGATCCAGGTGTACTACCCCACCTAGGCCCTACCTGGTGGTCTGGCCTGACAGTACCTGCCCAGCCCACTGCCGAGTCTAAGTACCTGATTGAGAACGACCCAGTTTGGGTCAATCTGAGCATCACCCTCAGGATCCAGGACGACGGTCTGATAGGCTCGGAAATCCGTGAGGGTTACCTCTGCACTTTCAGGACACACATCCAGGGGGTCGACTACTGCATCATTGTCAAAGTCATCCTCACACACATCACCAACACCATTGCCTGGGTAGATAAGGCTAGGAGCTCAGGAAGGCCTAGCCACTGCCAATGGGCAACACTGTCACCTCCTGGATCTTGCATTCCTGACTTCTCCCTACCTGCCCTTCCTTACTGCCCTGCAGGGCTTGCTGCCTCCCCCTGAGCAAAGTCCAAACCAGTCCAACCCT